TTAACAAACGCAGGACCCTCGTCTGGTCTTCTAAGCAAGCATGTACCAGTACCAATTTAATATCGATACTAATGGACAAACCATTAACGAATTGATTGGTTGTTTCACTGACAGAACTGAACCCTTGGTCTCCAGCACAAGAGCAGCGATGGAACCTTTCTGCTGGCCACTGTGATGATTGGAAATAAAAAGTAAAATTTGTCTTCACAACAGAATTTGGCAAAAAACCACCTAGCCTATAAGGTGCTGTTAGATCTGGGGCACACTTGTTCGTTATAATTTGCAATGGATACACCTTAAGACCCTCAAAATCACAAGTTCTTACCCTATTATCATAAACCAAAGACCTATTTGTTGTTGTTTTTGTTGTCCCATTTCGAGCAGCTTTTGCTGTTTCATTTGGTCCCAGTCGCGCGGACGATATTGCAAGCGACTGATTTTTAGTGGTGTGAAAAACTTCCTTTCTTTTTTGGGAATTTATTAAGACTGAAGGAGGTAAAATACGCATAAGTGATAATAGGAGCATCGTTATAAGGCACGATAGAACCAGGATAATGAATTGGCGACGCCGAACCTGCATTACTGGCATTTTTCCTGCAAAAAAATATGTTTATCCATTACTGACTGGGTTAGTTCGGAACGCTTCACTTTCTCAAATTTTGAACTGAATTTACCCGCATCCTTCGACGCTTTTCAGTGAAAGCAAAGATCAATCCAAAACCGATGTCCCTCCATGTTCTTTTCTTTCCGAGAAGTGAATGCATTTGACAGCTCAACTGATAGCACATAACCAAAGAAACGGGGAAATTTGCTTGTTTTGAGATTTCGAACTTACATCAACAAGACCCTCCATGTGGCTGAGAAGCGTCGAAATGGAATTTCGATGTTACTGAAATGGATCGACATGCCGAGTCCTCTTCTGATTAACTTTTATAGAGTTTGCAGTATTACTAATTAATGATAGCGTAACTTCTAAAAGCTTAAGTGCCTATTCCACAGATTGAAAAAAGTATCGAAGGGCAAATCCAAACTATGCCATTGCTTTTCAAAATTTTAATTATCCAAAAGAAAAAGGCAAGGATGGTGGCTTGTGTGCACCAGATGTGAAATTAGCGAAAAAAAAAACCATGCAGACAGACTATAGGATCAGAACTAGTAACAGCGTGCAAGCTTCTATCAGTGTGGCGGTCCGAATTCTCGCACTTCTCATCCCAGCTTGCCAAAAAAACTAATAATTAGT